ATAAATCAACATTACTTTGATGTTTTTAATTAAGAGCGTTTTTAAATTAGTATTAATTTTTTAATTTTGTGTCACAAGGTAATGAATTCACAATAGTTTTAACAGATTCCGATCTGACCTACTTGAGAACGAATTAATTAGCTAGTTTAAATAAAATATTATGTTTTAATTAAGCGTGTCCTATGAAAAGACAATCTAGTTTTTTGTTGGATTGTTGTAATTTTAAAATTGACGTTGTTTGAAGCTTAATGAAAATTTAGCGTCAGGTTACGTCTTGACGCTTGATGAGATTTATGTGTAAACGCACTATATATAAATCGAATAAAGTTTCATATCACGAGAGAAGGGCGTCGGTTCAGTAGCGCTCCGGCACCTCATGCTGGCTTGTGGACGTAAAAGTAGCGATAACGATAAGCCTTCTCACGAAATGACATTTTGTTTAGTTTATGACTGCTGCCGGAGTCATAACTCATATTAATATCGTTATGTTTTTAACATTTTGCAACAAGAGTTTATGGCGTTCTTTTGTGCTAAGCGCTAAGGATATTGCATTTTATACCGAGCGATAACACATACGCGTTGCTGTTTTTTTTTTATATCTCAACAGATAACGGCCTTTTATTTTGTTTGGACGGGTTGCCTTTTAATAAGGCGCTGAATCCTCGTTTAAGTGACTTTCTTGTGTTTTATTCCTGACACGGAATTTTGGAATTCATAATAGATGATGAAATATCGACTTGATAAATTAATCTACAAATTAAAATACCCACACATAATATACGAACATAAAAATTTATTTAAAACGAAAATAACACAAATGACAATCCAATTATAGCAGGTGGACATGCCGGTATTACCATATGAACTTTATGGCACCGTAAATTATGTTTATCTTTATGAATATTCGGAAATATATGGCAACTAATGTCACAGCAGGTTGCACTTAAATCATGCGTAGTTATCAAGAATTTTTACTGCTTCATGCATTATGGCAGCAATGCACTGAACAACGCTGCAGATTGATAACTTCCACAACGCCAATAAATTATTTCACGCAGGGACTATCCACATAACTAGCCATTTCATCAAACTCTGAAAAAATATGTTTGTACGTTCATTTTTGAGCCACAACATTTTGGGTGCAAAAAGTGGAAATATTCATATATTTAGTATATATTAGATTGTTTTAATATTTTTAAATAATAAACTTTAAGATTGAAGTATAAAAAATAAGCACAAGCTTTTATTAGATATATGAGTACAACACTACGTGAAATGAGAAATATTTAAAGTACATGAGATAACAACGTTCCTGTGGTGTTCACATTCCTAGTTTCATTATGGAATTTTCTTGATTCATTTACAACATATTGTAACTGAATTTTTTGTTGAGTCCCCAAAACAAATTTTATATTTTGTCTTTTTATTGTTCTTACAGTTGTAACATAGCATATTAAAAAACAAGTGTTACAAACACTCTCATTGTGATACGAGTAGTTTGTGACACGAGCCACGCAGTGACGAGTTTTATAATTGCACGAGTATTACAATGGGAAATTGTAATACTCGGTTTTATACTATTTTTTCTATTGAGCGCTTTTTAAATTAAATTTATTATTATACAAAGTTATCCAGAAAGACTGTGTCTGTTCGTAACAGATTTGAAAGGATTTTTGTTAATAATTTGAAACACTCCAACCGGTTAGGGCTTTGCTTGACAAATACTTGACGTAAAACCCCTCAAAAAAAAAAATGTTAAAAATTAGAGTCAGGATTGCCGACAGATTCATTCATTGTGGATCACTTTGTACCTATTTCACAGTTATTTTTTCGTTTGACATATGCGGTAACCAAATTGCTCGAAAATAGTTAAATTGCATTCGTTTCGGTGAAATACGTTGAACTGCAACAATTTCACACTTAAAAACGATAGTCTATGGTCAGTAATGACCAAAGAATTGCATAAAATATTGACAAAAAACAGAATCACAAATTAATTTATACACTAGAAATTCCAGTGACTATTCAATTGACCTCTCTTTTTTCAAATATTAACCAATAAAGTAGCAGATATTTACTTTCGCATCTTAGCAACAACAAATTCCAGCGAATATTCCACTCGTGGTAAAATATAACTGGATATTCAACTTTGCTATGATAACGAAATCATGTGTAAGCGAATGACCATTCATAAAAATATTCGACAATTTTTGACTACTCGTGGTTATTATAACTGAATATTCCACTCGTGATAAAATATAACTAGATACTCCACGTTGCTATGAAAAGAAAATCATATGTAACGCAAATTTGCCATTTTGTTCATTGAATAGTCTGTTGAAGTCAATTCGTAGTCAAAGATTGGTCATTACGCTTCCGAACACCATTCGTGCTACACACTCATGGTGTTCATAAAGCGATGACCATTCATAAAAATATTGTACAATTTTTGACTACTCGTATTATAACTGATTATTTTTTAAACAGTCCTGTCAGTCAATCGTAATGAGAAAAAAATTCAAATCGACCAATAGGATCAAAATCACACTGACTAATTGCTAGTATTATACATAGTTTAAAAAATAATCATATGTATAATATTTTATCCATATCTAATGTAGATAAGGTGATTTTTGCAGAGCCTACGTTACAAACTTTTTAACTTTCAATATAGTTAACAACAAAATGTGACAAATATTAACCATTTTCCAAAGCATACTTGATTAATGATGAAAATAAAAAGTTAAAATCCGTTTTTTCGTGATTATTTTTACAACGGCAATCGAAAGAAATAGAGTCATGCTGTTTGAAAAAACTGATTTGTAGCTGTTTTTTGAGAACCATTTTCAAAAAATATCATATTAGCTTTAAAATCTGAGTTGATAATAATAAGCTACTTTAGAAGATTTTTCAAAGCTTCGGTTATCAAATGTGAAAATTTTTTTTTACTTATTGTAAAGGGTTCAAGAGCTGTGATTTTTTGAATGGGCTTCTGCAAATAAAAATTTCGACAAAAAATTGACCTATGTCAAAAACTATGACAGAGAAGTATCAACAACTTGGGTAGAATGGTCGATTTTGGTTGCATTCAAAATTTCTAAAACGTAGCTACATCGGATGTTAAAAATTTTCTAATGTAGGCCTAATTGTCTTGTATACCATACCTATAGTTGAGATGTAGCTAAAAATCGCAGAAAAATTGTCCATCTGATTAAATTTCAAAGGTGATTGTTTTCCTATAGAGAAAAGTGTATTTACTGTTAAAATTCTAATAAAATGTATGCAGGTCATAAGTTGTTTGCGAATTTATTTATGTACTGTTAAGTCTGGTATTTATGCCGGCGTACATTGCAGTACAGTGCAGTTATATCTGCGAATACTTGAAACTTGCATAAACTGTTAATTTAAAAGGATATTGATGGCTCCATAAAGCCGCATTAACCGTAAACATAATACGAGGCATAATTTACTCACAACCACGCAATTAATATTAAAGTCACTTGTAATCTAATCCGATGACGCTGAAACGGCATTACACGGTGGAGTTGGTGCCGTTGCATTTTTTCTTTTCCAAGTCATATAAATTTACTGCCCTTAATCGCAGGCGTTGTGTTGTTGCAGCACTCATCAACTCTGGGTCAAGCTGTCGAAATTAAATATAATAATGGTTTTATTGAGTAATTGCGGCAAATCACGAAGGTTTTTGCAGAGCAACGTGAGCACTAGAAACTCGAGAATTGGCATGTTTATGGGGCAATTACAGAAATGAGCTGGTTTAATCGCCATCAAACGGGAATGATTAGTGGCTTCATTATTTCCACCAATCACGTGCACGTAAAATACTACATGTATCCTATAATTAAAACTGCAATTTATTTCCAATTGCCGGCCAAGTCGCGCCGTTTTATTGTCATGTTCGGCCGCTATCACGTCCGATCTCCCGATTTATCCAGCTTATTTTAATTGAAAACAGGCGCACCGAGTTGATTTATTGAAGAAAATTGCCGCGGACGGGGCAGATGCCTTTTTTTCCAATTTGAAAGTGCATATACTAAGGCCAACAGCGTCTTATTACGCTCAATTACACCGAAATTGCCGGGTAATGTTGATAATTAAACCGCGCCGCTAAATAAAACCAATTAGACATGCAGATTTCCGGCGTGTCGTAAATTATCGATGAAAGCATTTTAATGAAAATTTAATTGCGCCCAAGTGCTGTACTGCATTTTTAATCGAACCATTCAAGGAGGATTTTCAACATGCCTATCCTCAAAAATTGCTTTTTTACACCATTCCACGGCTACCTTCACGCACTGACTCACATACTCCAAGAGTATTGCTGCATGTATGTTGTACAACATGCAGCCTCAACGACATGCCAGGCCTTCCGCTCTCATATACCGTCCAAATAAATGATTTCATTAAAAACAGAAATAGAACCTTTGTCCTGATCAAAATAAAAAATAATTATGTATTTCTAAAACAAGGTTAGAATGAAAATTAGATACGATACGAGTAGAAGATTCCAAACCCGAGCGTTAGCCAGCGTGCACTGAGAAAAATGAATAGTAACAGCTAAATGATAGATTAGTTTGACTAAGAAAAGTTTAATACTAATCCATGGATGTTCTCAAGCAATAATCAACATTGGAAAATAACATGTCGGGTTTTCCATTAAGTTATTGATTTATTATTATTGAACAAAATATTCTTTACGGTATTGTTATTTAGTATGTAAACTATAGATCGTAATAAATAAGTAATAATTTAATAGTTAATAAATCTATTTAAATTTTTGTTTAGTCAATAATGTATTTTCTTTAGATGATAACCAGTGGAAACGATTATTCAACAACAGTTTATTCTTTTTTAACCAACATAAAGATCTTAACATATAACAAACGGAACTTCAAATGTAAATACGTAAATATTACTTGGAAAAATTGCGCGCGTCAGTGCGCATGCTAACCATAACATGCAGTTGCACGTTGTGTGTGGTGAATGTGCACCAACTTTGTTCAAACGAATCTTTACATGAACGAATAGTTTAATGGTCATTTGTTTTTTCTGTTGTATTTGTGTTTATGTTTGAGGAGTGCAGGAGTACGGTTGACGAAAAGTGCCAAAAGTTGCTGAAGCAGTGGCATTTTGTAACACTGCTACAAAAATTTGAAGGTTAGTATAATGATATTTACAATCGCCGGATCAGCCACCACCAGAAATTTTTAATTGCAACACGCTATTAAGATAAAAATATTTTTATGAGCAATAGATTCGAGCAGTGGTTGATTTGGACTGTTGCAAAGTACATTCTCCATAATGTTATTTCAACTGCAATAATTTCATTTTGTAAATAATGTAGTATGTTGTCGATAAAAACTTTTGTTAAATATTAAGCAATTATATTTAATGTTAAACTGATGGAATCTAACTATCTACTTCTTGGTTTTTCTTATTCAGATGAAGGAATGACATAGGATATTTTGCTGGATCTTGTTCAGAGTTTCCTTCCCCAGCTGGTGCCAAAATTTGATGACCAATTCAAATTGATGCGGCATATTAAAGAGTACAAATCTGCATCTTTGGTAAGTTTTTCAATTTTAAAGTCTATTTTTTTAATTTATGAATGTTAATGCAGTGATTGACGTCCTGGCATCCCCGTCCCCGTGCAGTACTAAATACATAATTTGTACTTAATGATGTTTTAAATGTTTATTATTTTGCTTAATAAATTGTTCTAAATAATATATGTACAGTTTAATTTCTTTGTTAGGTATATTTTTACTTAAAAAATATTTTTCCCTTTAAGATATACTTCTTAACTATCAAGAACACATCTTTTAATATCTAATGTGAGATTATTAATCTTTAATGATCCTTGTTTCTTGTTAATAAATATTTCTTATTATTAACATTGCAATGATAATATTAAAGTAGATGTTAAGTTTTTATAAAATCAGAATCACTTAAAAACTAAGAAATGCTATGTTTGGAAATTCCAAACAAATTATTTATTTTCTGATAACAATAGTTTCTTCCGCCGTATTCTAAAAAATTATTAGTTTACATTTAAGCTAAATCTTTAACTAGTAAAAAACTGTTCTCTCAGTGTGATGAGGGACCACGAGTAGATCGAATTTTCATTCTAACCGAGTAACAGACTGTATTTTCTTCACGACCAGAAAGTATGAATCAAAAACAATTAAATCTGAACAATATAAGTTATTTGGCATTGACATCTGACACCAACAGTTTTGAAATCCATGGCAATGTACTTAGTTGAGCATAATTATAGAAGTCACTTGTTATAGAATTAAAATGTATGCAAAATACATAAGACGCTAGTGTTTCAGAATAAATATTCTATCTCAAGAGTGACAATTTTTACTTTCTATTGTTAAAAATGATTTCGCAATTATTACATTCACTAGTGATCGTGGAGAAACATAATTATGCATTTGATCCAAAATTCGATAATAGTATATTATAATACTAGTTTATAAGCAAGCCTTTAAAACACACACGACGGCTTTAACAGCACTACGCGTCAGCGAAGTGCTTTTAACGTTGTAAGTGTTTTAAAGGCGCTTATAAACGAGTGTTATACGCTATTTTTTATTATACCTGCCCATTTACGATCTTTTATGAGCATTGAAAAAATGTGAATTTACACGATAAAATTATCAAAGATTGTTTGTGCATCGTTTTCGTAAAGACGGTTACTAGTTTACGTTGTTAAGCACATTTTTTCACGTTGTAATTGGTCCAGACATTTCACTATTTCTTGTTACCTAGACAACTTTAAAATTTTAGCATGCTATAAAGGCCAAATTACGCACGCTGCAGCGTGTTTTAATTTAGGATTATGATGCAGGTATAATGAAAAAATTATAATGGATGACAGAACTTCAAAATTCCTTGTTTATTGCCACAATTGGCAGAAAACTTAATATTCCTTGTACGGTGTCATGTCATGTTGCAACAATATCGGCACCTAAATGCATCAATTATTATAGCATTGCCACCCATGCCGTTTATTTTATAAGCATTGCTTACTTAACCAGGAGCAACAAGCCTTGGTGGAAGTAAATGCGACATGTCCTGAATTGAAACGATATGATTACCGAAGCTGTAGTAGCTCGTTGAAATGCATATCTTCACCTATGCATTATGCACGTCAGTCATGGTCCCGCATCAATGTGATTAACATTCATTTCTTAGAAAACACAGTTGACTGAAATAGCCATTTCTGGTGTTGATTGCCGGGAATCTTGTTTGTTAAGTGCCGCTCTCGCACTAGCTTCATTTGTCTGGTTTCATCTTGTGGCGTTTTTTTCTTGGTGAATTTATCCGAGCATTAGTTTATGATACCGGGATTAACGTGTGCACTCAGCGGTTCCCGGCCATATATATATATATATAAAACGTGTTGATGAAGAGAAATGTTGTATGTGCGCTGGTGCAGTCGTAAAGCTGTCAGGGTCGAAGTCAGAAGCACTCACGGCTGTTACGGAGGTGTCGGAACGAGGTACCAAATTGCCGCAACGCATCAGGGAGGCGGCTGACATTGTCTCTGAGTCTCGAGTAATGGTCCGGAGGTGAGAGTCAAATGGTGGCCTAAATAAAGAAATACGGCAAGAGGCGACAGACAAATTAGCGCACGCCTCGCCCGTTACATACACATATTATAGGATGTGTGTGCCCAGAGACGGGAAGACTAGTTTGCTGCTGACAAAACAGAACTCGACACCCGTAAATTTGATTAGCTGACATGTATGAGGCGGCCGGGAAGCTGAATTATTGCCTCAATATTCGCCCCCGAACGCTAAGCCATCAGCTTATTAACAAACTTGGAGAGCTTTAATGTCTAGGTTTACACTACCACCTATTATTATCTTTAAGCACACAGTTTCTATATAATACACCTCCAACAATAAATTTATCTTCCATATTAAATCTTCACTCAAGATAATATTATAAATAACCACTCGCTTACAAGAAACATGAAATAACAGAGGATAAAGTTTTATGTACAGGGTGATTCTTAAATAGACCGACAAAATTTTATCCTTGGTAGTATCAAATGAGAACATGCTAGAAAAAATATTTAAAAAATTCTTTGTTTAACCGTTCTCCAAATAAAATTTATTTAAGTGATTTTCGAAGTAAAGCGTACGCCACTGACGTGTTCGTAAATAGTATTAGCACAGGTAGTGGAAACCATGGTATTAATTTGATAAAAATGTACTTGATTATTGCAACAATTCATAAACGCCGTAAGTGGCACGGATCAAGGGGGTTTTGCCCCTAAAAGATATAAACCTAAAAATCGTACAGTTTGCCTGCATTTATCGTTGGGAAACTGTGATAAAATTTTGTCGGTCTATTTAAGAATCATCCTGTATAGTAGATCTAGAAATATTTGGAAAATGAGTCAAGTACTTTTATTGCTCTCACAGCGGGACGAACGTAAATACCCTTACCATAACCCGTCACCGCAGTTCAAAATTCTGCACTTTACAGTATTGAGAAGAGAATTGTTTAGGATACTTTTATGAGGATTAAGCTCGGTAGCAGGCCACTTGCGGTTTATTATGAGATGATGACACTCATAAAGTGATTAACTCTTTTTCCAAATATTTCTAGATTTACTATACATAAAGTGTCTTTTAACACAGTATAAGGTCAGTGAAGTATTGTAACGAAGCACAAAGATCTATTATTATAGATATGTAGATGTTTATGTAAGGTATTAACAAGTCGCAGAACGGCACTTTTCCCAGGCCATCTCGCTCGCTGAATTCGCTCAGTTCCTCGTTAAGAAAGGCCTAATTTGCTATAAAGATCATCAACTAGAAAAACAAACTTACTTTGTTCCACTAGTCCCGCACCGCACGTAACCAAACTAGGTGTTATAACATAGTGTACGAATTTATTTACTTACAGTTTTTATTAAATTTATTTAACAAATTTTATCCTCCCCTCTTCCGAACACTAATTAAAGCTTTTCCCTTACACAACCACCGATATTTTGTTTATGGTTTTTAATTTTCTTGCCAAGACGATAACACTAAAAATCTGGAATATCGTCAAACTCTAGTTTCATATTTTATCTCAAAAACGCATTTACTAGTTTCTCCAAAAATCACCTTAAATCGGTATCTTACTCCCCCAAAGATACCCTTGCTTCAACGCGAGCGCGATCAGGACCTTCTTAAATCCTGCGAACGTTGTAGACAGGCAGCGATTCCTGCTATCCACACCCACGGTTACGCACCAGTTTTGAATTCAAACATATGTACGTATGTGTGCTTAATTAGTTATTTATTTACTAAGATAACAAGTAAATGCCGTTTTAAATGGCATAATTAAATAAACAATATTAATATTATTAGTAGTACCTAATAAAAACCATCTATTATTAGGAATTAAAATGATCAAATCAAACTAGAGACAATTTAACATAACTCTTTAATTTATTGATAGCTTACTTCTTTTTAATAAAGTTGCAATTGACAA